GGATAGAAACATCAGTGATGAGAGAAAAGTATTGATTGGTTGGTTGCCTCCTGCATACCCCCTGCTGAGGATCAAGCCTGAAACCCAGGCATGTGTCCTGACCTCCTGATTCATAGGTTTATGCTCAACCACTGAGCTAGAGCAGCCAGGCTGGTCTCCATTTTTAAATATCCCGGTGGCTCAGAGAGCAACCTAATAAGGAGTTTCCTTGACCTTCTTCCGGCATTTTCTTCCTTCTGAAGTGCCATGCATTGTCAGAGCTCCCCTCACCCGCTCAATCATCAGTAACCTCCTTTCAGGGTCCTTCTCCACTACCCATAGCACCAGCGGGCTTCAATGCTCCTGGGCTCTTCCTATGTTCCCGGAACTTGAATGCCAGGTTCTTGAGTCTCAAAGTCACAGAAGTAAGCACTGAACTACATCAATCCCTCGAGTTTACTGAAAAGAGCCCGCACACGGGAGTTGAGCAGAAGAGAGTCCATCTCCCTTCAGGCTTTGTGGATGGAGCATACCGGGGACCCTGGGGGCGTGCAGGGCGTGGGGATGAGGTCAGTTGTTCCACAATCACCATCGGGCTGTAGTGGATCCCAGAGTCATCACAAGGTGTTTTCCACGGTCCGGTCCGTGGATCGCCAAAGGGCCTGTAAAATAATGCCTGCACAGCCCTACCAGTGTGCTCAGTGGCTGAGCGTCCACCTGAGCCAGGAGGTCAGGGTTCCATTCCTGGTCAGAGCGCATTCCCAGGTGGCAGGCTCGATTCCTGGCAGGGGCCTGCAGGACGCAGCGGATCAATGATTCTCTCTCATCATCGATGCTTCTATCTCTCCCTCTCCCTCTGAAATCAATAAAAATAATTTTTAAAAATAATAATGCTTGCACATTCTAGTTACCATCTAATGGACAAAAAAAATCCCTAATTTTCAGAACATGGTGTTGAGAAAGGATGTCATTGTTCCTTTAAGGACGCGGTTCGGTTAATTTCAACAACGGTGTTTTACCGAAAGCAGGGAGTCACCAGGATGAAAGCTCTGGTCTCCATGGAGTGAAGCGCTACCCCCGGTCGCGTTCACCTCGCACGGGTTCCCCACGCCGAACAGAGCGAGCTCCCGGGCGAGCACGGGCTCCCGACCCCCTGGGAGGACAGGCGGGCGGACGCCGACTTCCGGCTTCGCCACCGGCCGGGCGGGAAGTGCGCGGTTGGTTGGAACGGCCGGACCCCGCCCCGCGGGCCGCACTTCCGAGAGGCGTGTTCCGGGCGGG